GCAGCTCAAGAAGGTAAAGGAAAGTATTGTAAAGAAATGTGCAAAGACCTAGAGTTAGAAATACCAAAAACGAAAGACCATAGCATATTTTAAATGGAAAACTCAAGAAAAAAATACAAGCCTCATGTTGAAATATTGAGATTCTATAGGCAAAAAAGTGATGTTGGAAGCATCCAAAGGACAGTCATGGTACCAGAAAGAATCAGTTAATATCCAACTATTTCAAGAGGTGGTATATGATAAAGAATCAATGGTACTCAAGGAAAAAATCCAAGTTGCACTGAAAGCATTGGCCCAAAATAAGGCTCCAGGAATTGATGGCTCCAGGGATACCATCTGAAATGTTTCAACAGGCTGATGAAGCACTGGAAGCACTAACTTGTCTATGCCAACTGAATGGAGGAGGTTCATATTTATACCCACTGCAAAGTAAGGTAACCCAACAGAATTTGCAAATTGTAGAACAGTATTATTGATATCACATGTAAGTAAATTTTTACTGAAATCATCCAACCATGGTTGCAGCAGGACATTGGACAGCAAACTTCCAGAGGTTCAGGGCAGATTCAGAAGAGAAGGTCATAAAGGATATCATGGCTGACAACAGATGGATCTTGGCTGAAAGATGTTTACTTGTGTTTTATTGACTATGCCAAGGCCTTTGACTGTGTGGATCATAACAAACTATAGATAGCCTGGAGAAGAAAGGGAGTTCTAGAACACTTTCTTGTGCTTGTGAGGCACTTGCACATGGATCAAGAGGCAGTTGTGGGAATGGAACAAGAGAATATTGCATAGTTTAAAATCGGGAAAAGTGTGCATCAGGGTTGTATCCTTTCACCATACTTGTTCAATATGTATGCTGAACAAATTATAAGAGAAGCTGGATTTTATGAAGAATAATGTGTCATCAGGGTTGGAGAAAGGCTTATTAGCAACTTGCAATATGCAAATAACCTAGCCTTCCTTGCTGAAAATGAGGAGGACTTGAAGCACTTGCTGATGTAGACCAAGGATTGCATCCTTCCGTATGGATTGACTCAATGTAAAAAAGACTAAAAAGAACTAGATCAATAGGTAGCATCACAATAAATGAGGAAAAGATTGATGTCAAGGATTTCACCTTGCTTGGATCCACAATCAATGTTTATGGAAGCAGCAGTCAAGAGATCCCAGGATGCATTGCACTAGGTTAAACTATTGCCCCAGACTTCTTTAAAGTGGTGAGGAGCAGGGATGTTCCTTTGAGATCTAAGGTGTGCCTGACTCACACCACGGCATTTTCAATGGCCTCATATGCATGTGAGAGTTGAACATTGCATAAGAAAACTGAAGAAGAATCGATGCATTTGAACTATGTTGGAGAAGAATATTGAAAATACCATGGACAGCCAAAAGAACCATCAGACCTGTCTTGGAAGAAGTACAGTCAGAATGCGTCTTAGAGGCAGATACTTTGGACATTATCAGGAGAAACCAGTGTCTGTAGAAGAACATCATGCTTTCTAAAGTGGAAGAACAGCAAACAAGAGGAAGGTTCTGGACAAGATGTATTGATCCCGTAGCTGCAACAATAGGCCCAAACAAGAGAACCATTGTGAGGATGGTGCAGGAGTAGGCAGTGTTTTCTTTTGTTATACATAGTGTTAATATGAGTTGGGGCCCCTTGATGGCACCTGACAACATAACCGTGTCAGCCCTATCTTGCTCTTTCTATATGCATACATATGCAACTCTCACTAGTTTTGTTTCTCCAGAGAACCTAGCTTAACACCATGGTAATTGAATGTCACAAGGTGTGACCATCTTAAGGGAATCTTTATTTCTCTTCAAGTTTCCCAAGAGGCAACTGTATTACCATGAATACTTCTGGTTTCTTTCTTGATTTGCACCCATTGGGACCACTTAACCAATGGGTGGGGTTACCTTACTTTCAAAACAAGATACATGCTAACTGTTGTTTTTCAGTTTCTCTTCCACAAGTGGAAACGGAAGCAAAAAAACAGATGTTTGACCTCTTCAGATTTTTAGGAGAATGTTTTTACTTTGAATGTGTTAGTTCCTAAGCAGCCCAAGTCTTTGACCTCTTCAGTAAGCATCTGTGATGTCACTAAACAGAGTTTAGCATCAGACAATTGACTTTGGGTATCATATACCATTAAAGTGCCTGGAACTGTAGAACTCCTGAGTAAACCATTACTAATGTTTTTTGTATCCCCCCCCCCCCATTGCTGGCGGTCCATTCTGATAATGATGACTCAGAAGTCTCAGAATCACTAGTTCATCCGGGATCAAATACTGCTTTTGAAAACTGTGGGTGATTTTCAGCTCTGACCAATTGAATGCTTTTAGTGTCTTCTGGGAAAGATTTGTAAGATGAGAAAAGGGGAATGGTTTCCCTGCTTTCACAATGGATGTGATGGTTGCCTACCACTTGCATCTTTACCGGGGTCATTGGTCCCATGATGCTCAGAAGTCCTATTATCATTACCTAAGCCCAAACCCAAACACCTCTGTGGAGACAATCCAGACTTAATGCAACCCCATAGGTTTCAGAGTTGAACTGTGCTCTATAGCATTCTCCAATGGCTGTGACCTATCTGAAGTAGATCACCAGGTCTTTTTCGGGGGTGCCTGTGAATGGATATCAAGCATCAATCTTTTCGTTACTAGACAAGCTTTTAATCCTCAGAACCACTCAGGGACTCTTGATCAGATGTAAATCATCTTACTATATCTTGAAAACAATTATGAAAACAAAACCACACATGATTTTCTCTATTTGCTTTAATTATCTGCTTAGAGTTGGCATCCTGGATTGTAGTTTGGGCACAGTTCCTTCTGGCTGCATGCTCTTGGGCTAGTCCCTGTCGTCATCTGTAAGGTGAGGATGAGCTCTGGAGCTGCAGTGGTTAAGTGCCCAGCTGCCAACCAGGGGTTGTGCTTAGAACCCACCAGCTTCTCAGAGGGGCAACTTCAGTCCCCTAGTGATTACAGCCTTGGAAAGCTTGGGGGAGCAGCTCTACTCTGACATCGGATGGCTCTGAGTTGGAATTGCCTTGATGGACAATGAGTTTAGGTTTGGTTTGACCTCATGGGATTGTTATGAGGGTTGAAATACCATATGGGAAGCACTTAGCATAGTGCCTAGTTCATAGTAGTGGCTCATCCAATGTCGAATTAGTGTTCCCCATGTTATTTCTCTTTGGGGACAATGGTGTGTTTTGGGAAGAGCATGGGCTAAGGAGTGCGGCAGCCCCGCGCTTCAGTTTGTAGACTGAAGTTGTAGACTGCCACGTACTGTGGCATCCTGAGAAATTTAATGAACGCTTCGAGTCATGATCCTCTCATCTCTCAAATAGATACACAGCTCACAGGGTTGTTATAAACAAAGTGCCCTGGTACGTCCCTTTGCTCCCCAAGGATTATCAACAAGTTAACTTTTACGGACTCCAGGCTAAGGGCGAGGCAACGTACCAGGTGTCACGTGAAGCTTCACAAGAAAATAAACCGAGGTCTCCTCCACCGGGAAGGAGAACAGCTTAGAAAATTCAAGCCAACCGAGCACAAGGAGTTGCTGATGATACATGCAAATTGCAGTGGGTTTCTCACGCCCGCCCATTTATATGTTCGCCAGGGTGGACGCAGGGGAATTTTCAATGAGAGGCCCCTTTCCTGGTCTTCTCACAGGTCAGCAGATCTCCAGAGCTCGTGGCCATGTGCGGCCCATTAAAGAAACTGCAGAAAAATGACAAGTCCCTCCAACAGCGGTTCTCAACCTGTGGGTCGCGACCCCATTCGGGGGTGGTGGTGGTGGTGACGGAGGTCCCCCTAAGCGGGGTCGCCCGATTCTTAACAGGAGCAAAATGACAGTGATGAAGTAGCCGCACCACCTGAGGAACTGTATGAAGGGTCGCGGCATTGGGCAGGTTGGGATCCACTGCAGGAACCACCGCTCTGAGGCCAGTGCCCCAGAAACAGGGATCACACACACCGAGGCGTCCTAAAGAAACCAAGGGCAAACGATCTCCGTCCCACTCCGGGCGGGTGGAGTGAGAGAAAGGTCGCGGGAGGACCCCCGGACCCGCACCCCCAGCCTCCCCACAGCCTCGGTATGGAGGTGCTGGTCCCGCGT